TTAGAAATATTATGAGGTTATGAGGAGAATGCCGCAAAGTCTGCACTAAGGCAGTACGGGGATCATATCAACAAACAAACATGTAACAGATGCATTCCTGTACTGAATACATTGCGATATTCTTTAAATAACATTATTATTACCGGTATACATCATTTTCCTACATGTAGTAATAATTCAACTATGACAGAGATAACAGCACTATGCAAACATTTACAGCCAGTTCTATCTTGTCATGAAGTTTTTGAGTCTAATATTATCAAGGCAAATTGTCAATAATTTTATCCTAAAATAAGAGACAATTTGAACCATCAAACAAGTGCAGATGTTTTGGAATTAATGTAGATACAGACTTTTATGGAAAGGAGAATAATTATTTATTCCATGCTAGATTTATAACAAATAGTTTGAAAATGAATCTATGAAATTAAATAAAAAAAATTATAAACAGATATATGTAACATTAACATATGTAAATTAGGCCTATATTGAATCTGTGTGAATACATCCCGGAATGTGCTAAAAACATAAAATGTGAAAAAATAATGTTATTTTTTGCTTAAAAAAATTAAACGTGGACTTGCTTCCCTGACCTTTTCACACATTTCATTTTGAAAAGTACTAGAGGTTCTTATCCCTTAGGTGTTACAATATTATGGGGTCGGGGGAAGGAACCTCACAGATTGGCAAAGTGAATGTTTAAATTTCAGGTGTATATTTATATATATTTAAATGAAACACTCAACATAATGTTTGGACAGGTTCTTAAACGATGTAACTTTGTCAACAAAATCAATAAATTTGAAGCAAAAATCCTTAAAATATAACTATGTTAACAAGTCATTTTTAGTGACGCAGTCCCCGTCCAAAATTTTGTGATCTGACATCAATTTGATGCTGATGAAGTCATTGAGATTAGATTGAAACCATTAATAGGAGATGGAGTTGTAAAAAATTATGATTTAGTGCTTTTACACGGGAATTGGACATTGGGCAGTCATATTGAATCAAATTGCAAAAATGTTGATGTTGATGTATCTATTGGTATACTGTCCTTGTACAAAATTTAAAGAGAAATGTTCATTGCATTCAAGACGGCCATATTTGTTTGAATCATGAAATAAGTATGATGTGCACCTAAAACACAATATATATGATCATCATACCAAGTTTGATCCAAATCAGCACAGTCATCTCTGAGAAACAGCTCTGGACATGTAAAAATGATGATTTAGCGCTTTTACATGAAAATTGACCAGCCATATTGAATTGAATCACAAAAATCATGTTGGTGCAGATGTATCTCTTGGTATACTATCTTTGTACAAAATTTAAAAAGAAACGTTCATTACATTCAGGATAAAGTACCATCGGTAGCATGAAAAACAAGATGGTCGCCAGTCGGCCATATTTGTTTGAATCACACAAAAAAAAAACGTGCACCTACACCAATATGTATGATCATCATACCAACTTTGATCCAAATCGCCCAGTCATCTCTGAGAAACTGCTGCGGACACGTTTAGGTATCAGAAATAGTAAATTTTACATCCAAAATGGCCGCCAGTCGGCCATTTTTCTCTGATCATAAAATAACTTAATGCCCATATGTAAGACATTATGTATTGTCTTCGTGTAAAGTTTGAATGAAATCCATCAATGGGTGTTCGAGATATAGCTCCAGACGGACGGACAGACGAACGAACAAACCCAAATTAATAGTCCTCGTTTTCGGACTTCCGAACGGGGACTAACAACGTTAACGACAACAACAGCAATGCCATAATAATTCAAAATCGTTATGGTGAATGTGGAATGTGCACGTGCATTAGGGGAAATCAGATTTGAATACTGTATACGTACTTCATCTTTAGAGAAAGCAATGATGTAAGATAGTTTCTTTCCCCATCCTACTTCATACAATAGTGGTTTATCGCATCCATTCTCGCATGTGTCACAGTGTAACCATCTTTGTTGGGAATTTGAAAACACTTCTGTCCACACATGGTCTGTTAGAACACAAAGACAGAACATGATAATTGTTACACATTGGTCAATTTAAATTAAAAAGATAGTTACAGATTATGTTAGTGTCCGATACCACCCCCCAAAAAAAACCGAACAACAAAATATTATACATTTAGTCACAGCATATATGATGTGTAAATTTTGTGTGAACAGTGCATTTTTTTTACACATGTTAAACATATCACATAGGACTCAAACATGAATTAATACTAATGTGACCCTATGACTGTTTGTAGGACTTGGGACAAATGTAGTGTGGTTTGGTTTAGGAAGTATCAGTGAGTTCTACGTCCTGTCCAGCTTCAGCTCTACCTAAGACTGTCTTACCTGTCCAGTCCATTACATATCTAGCCTCGAATCCTATAGCTCTACAACACAGAGTAAAACAGTTTGCCCATTCACCACATCTTCCAGTCCTTGTTTCAAGTAATTTACCTGGATGGTTATATCTGAATAAAAAAAAAATAACTTATCTGAGAAGACTCAATTCCAGAAATACTACCGGTAGTATGTGTACAATAAATCTAACTGCAACTCATGTATGGTACTTCCATTGATAAATGTAGTATCCATACTTAGATGATAGTTGCTTGACTGAGACAGTGTAAGTTAAATTTTGTTTTCAGCCTTTGTTTTATTAAGCAGTACAAGTTTCACATGCCAAATACAACAATTACGGTATTTCCAAGATATCAGAACATTTTTGCAAATAGCCAAACATTACAGATTCGGTTGTGATCAATTCCATCAAAATACTCAAGAAATTTGTTAGCCACTAATTTAAATGAGACCTTCTAAAACAATAAAAATGTGGTGAGAATTATTTTCTGAGAAACAAACACATGCCTCACAATTTATAACAGATGTTTGCTCAGCAACATGTTGTGTTTAGCGGGATAAAAAGCATACTGCATTATGATAAAGTGTGATGGTCATTGCACAAAGAGTGTTGCATGAATCAAGTACAACAATAGTAATTACCAGGGTGTATTAAAACTACTGTAAATTTATTTTCACTTGGAATTAATTTTTACTATTTTCACTGAAGGAATGATTCAGTGAAAGTACTTTTTTTCCTATATTTTACATTCAACTTGTCAACAAGCAGCCTCTCGGCTGAGATAGCTCCGCTGTTAGCAATGCACATTTCAATTAAAGAACTGAAGACATCATTAGAAAATGAACAATATGAATAGTATCAAAGCAATCGGACTTACAGTTTTTAACAAGAAGTCGAAAATATCACTTTTTACCAAAAATTACAAAAATATTCACCAAAATAAATAGAGAATTGAAGATATCATCACAAAACAAACAAATCTGAGAGAGGTCCACATGTAGTACCTATATATGTAATATCAAAGCAATTGGACTTACAGTTTTCAACAAGAAGTCGAAAATATCACTTTTTACCAAAAATGACAAAGATATTCACCAAAATTAGAGAACTGAAGATATCATCACAAAATGAACAAATCTGAGAAAGGTCTACATGTAGTATCTATATATGTAATATCAAAGCAATTGAACTATTGGTTTTTAACAAGAAGTCGAAAATATCACTTTTTACCAAAAATTACAAAAATATTTACCAAAATTAGAGAATTGAAAATATCATCACAAAATGAACAAATCTGAGAGAGGTCCACATGTAGTACCTATATATGTAGTATCAAATCAATTGGACTTGC